GGGCTGGAGAGATGACTCAGAGGTTAAGAGCCTGGCTACTCTTCCAGAGGACCCAGGTTCAATTCCCAGCATCCACATGGCAGTTCACAACTGTAGAGAGCTGCGTGGAGCCACACCTGATGGCGCTGGCTTCCGCCCTCCGTGATCCCGAAAGTGAGTGCTCTCTGTGATAATCAACTCCTATGGCTAAGGCCTGATTCATGCTATTATCACGCAATGATTGTCAGCTGCTTGCATATGCGTGGACCTATGGGCAGTGCCCACCTGGCAATCCGGGGTTGGCGGCCTGTGCCTTTTTTTAAGGGCTGGGAGAGGTTTGCCCGGGTAGAGAGAGAAAGAAAAAGAGAAGGAGAAAGATTGCTGTGAACAAGGTCCTGAATAAACTGCTTGCAAGAAGAGCTCTGGTGTTGCATCTTCCTTCCTGGTCGAGGCGGGCGCAACACACAACTGTCTATAACTCCAGTTCCAGGGAATCCAACACCGTTACACAGATATATATGCAGGCAAAATGCCAATGTTCATAAGACAAAAATAAATTATTTTTAAAAATGAATTGAATTATATCATATACCACACAGCCTTATTTTCATAGGATGAGGGATTTTCATAGGAGAACATCCCTTATGCCTAAATAGGCATCATGTGTTTTGGTCTGAATTGAATCTTAAATTTTTCTTCCTCCCTTTTAAACAGGAATAGTTTGACAAAGGATGATGGAAAAAATCCTGCAGAAGTTAGATGCCCTGGATGAGGATGCAAGGATACTTGCAGCCATCAGAGCAAAGGTATATGAAGTGAACGTTGATACTGTGGTACTCGTTAAAAAGTTAACATTTCAGATAAGAATTTTACTTTATGATTAATGATGCATTAATATGACAAGTTTATTTATATCCTCATATAAATGACTTTCAACTTTGTAAACAGATCAGTTGAAAATCATGTATTTAAGTAGATAATAAAAGACTTATTAAGTAATCAAGGACGTAACTCGGTGATAGAGAGCTGGCCTAGTATACTGGAGGCCCCAGGACCACAATAAAAATAACAGCAGTGATAAAAACTAACTATATAAGATCACTTCTAGGTAGCTGTCATGTGCCAGGTCATAGATGTATCAAAACCTTACTTTTGAAAGTACTGCCTCCCAACCACTAAATACTGCTACCCACAGCTGTTACCAATATGCTAAGTATACAAAGCTACTTAGTAGATATATGGAAAGCACCAAGTCCCTAAAGCACCCCTAATCTGGAAGCTATGTGCGATTCACAGCCACTGGATCAGGGAAAAATCCATTTTCTTCAATGGAGTGACACTGCAGGGCAGGCCTCGGGCTCAGGAGTAGTTGGTCAACACAAATTAGACTCTATATTTACTTGTGTTTTTTTGTTTTGGTGTTGGGTTTTTGGTTTAAGAAAGAAAGAGGCAGCCCGGCGGTGGTGGCATACACCTTTAATCCCAGCAATCGGGAGGCAAAGGCAGGCGGATTTCTGTGAGTTTAAGACCAGCCTGGTCTACAAGAGCTAGTTCCAGGACAGACAGACACCAAAGCTACAGAGAAACCTTGTCTCAAAAAAGCCCAAAAAAAAAGAAAAAGAAAGAAAGAAAGAGAGAGAGAGAGAAAGAGGCTGGGCAGTGGTGGTACATGCTTTAATCCCAGCACTCAGGAGGTAGAAGCAGAAGGAAGCAGATCTCTGTGAGTTTAAGATCAGCCTGGTCTACAGAGTGAGTTCTAGGACAGGCTCCAAAGCTATAGAGAAACCCTGTTTGGAAAAAACAAAACAGAAAGGAAGGGAGGGAGGGAGGAAGGAAGGAAGGAAGGAAGGAAGGAAAAACATGAAGTTGTAGGTCTCAGTGGATAAGAGAAAAGAATATGATCAAAATATAGTATAGAAAATCCTCAAAAAATAAATAAAATTTAAAAATGGAAAATAACATTTGGCATTGTTACTGAATTAAGAATAACTGAACTATACAGAAACAAAGCAAACTAAAATGGGCAGGACTCAGAATTCAAGGCGAAACAGTTAACAGATAAAATTTCCCAAATACTAGAGTTTTAGCATATATGAGCAAATTGATTTCTGATCCCTGGAAACTCTTTTTAAAGTGAATACTACAGGCTCACAGTCACCTATAGTTCTTACAGCCATCCAGCAGGGAGGAAATCTGATCACCCATAGCTCCGACAGCCATCTAGCAGGGGGGAAGCCTGCAGCTTAGTCTGTTTGACTTCTCCCTGTCCTGTAGCCACAGTGTGTGACGCCTCCAGCCATACGGGCTTTCCTAGTTCAGTTCTGATGATCCACAGTACAGACAACAGCCTTACCGTTTCAGTGGTCTTGGGGACCTCCATGGGCAATCACTCATGGGGTGGAACCCAGCATTTCCACTGGGGCTACCCCCTAACAGCCCTATTGCTCTTGGAAGTGCCTTTTCAGCTCATGCTTCTTTCAAAGTCTTTTGGTATTCTTACTGTTCTTCCACAATGTTTTTCCAAATCTGTAAAATGATCACTAGTATTCTAGTGTAATATTTCATATTACACATTATGTAATTTGAAAACCTTTCAATACTCATTCCAAGCAAGTATTAGTTAATCTTGGAATTTAAAAATTAAGGAGATTTTTTTCAGTTCGCAAGGTTTACTGTAAGAAGGAAAGATCCCATCACTTGAACCAATTGTCTCATCAAAAAAGGCAATGCTGACTGCTGCAGTGTGGATGGAAATGCTCCCTCATCTGGCTTTCCCTGATCCCCTGTCATCTTCTATGAGACATCTGGCCTCTTCATCCTAGGGTGCTGACACTGCTATAGGTCGTCTGTACATCTCCCACCCCCAAGAGTACCAAATGAAGCCTGATCTACGCTGATTTCCATGGAGCAGGGCCAAAGGCATTCATTCATTGACCTGGCATTCCCGCATCTTGAACTGGCTCTCTGGGTGAGGGTGACAAACTCCAAGACGGAGCTGAGGCCTCACCTCTCCACCAGTGATACCTGACTGGCCAAAGGGCTGTGAACGGAGTGAAGAGTCGCCACACTGGTGTACTTTCTTGCAAGGAATAAATATAAACATATTCACTAGGAAACATCATTGCCTACTCCCAGGACAAGCTTAATCATTTCCACTCATGCTGTTCTGTCCCTGTATCCATCTATTGCTGACCATTGCCTCTGGTACTTTAGGGAGCTGGCATTAACTAAAGTATATGTAGCTCCAGTAGCCACTGAAACACAAGCATTTTGCACATTAATCAGGAGCCAACAAATCTCCAGTTCAATGTGGAGCCTGCGGATCACCATTTGCCAGTTACCTTGGTACACTATCAAAGGGGATTTCCTTCCTCCACACCTGGGAGTTGACGAGGGCACCTGGTACCTCTCTGCATTTTACTCTGTTCACACTGGGGGCCTTGCCATCCAGTCTTTAAAGCCTTCCACAGACTCATAAGCACAGTATGGGGATCTCCAGCAACCCTGTCTCCCAGAGGGAAATCTGCTTGACACGGATCGTGCCACCTTTGCTTTCAAGTAACGTGGACAGGTCCAGTCATCCTTTTTCTTCACCTGAGTGTTGTGGACCTTTCTGATTCTAACTCACCTGCTGGTGTAAGTCATTCAGATCTGCCAGAGCTCTCCTTCCTCGTAAAGATTGCATCCCACTGTGGAGCTCAGCAAGGCTGGTAAAGACCCAGTTCAGTATATGACATCCATTCCTATTCAGCTTTGTGGAATGGGCATCAAATACTGCCTCTCAAAGCCACGCATTTCCCTCAGTCATGCCTACCTAGCCTCTGCTGTCTTCTGGCTTCTGATATATGGACACCTGAGTCGGCAATAACTGGCTTGTAAGTGTCAGTCCATCAGGAACCTGCTTCCCTCTGATTTCCTCAGATCCCTCAGCCCTGGTCTAAAGGAAGAATGAGTAGTTCTATTACTCGGTTTCTCTGCTTCTACTGCACACAGACTTGCCCACCCTGTGCCCCTTGGCCTCTAAAGCTAAGTAGTGAGGCACTCTTCTCCTTACCTAGAAGTCTTTCCTGTTGACACCGCTCAGATACTATCCCCTGCTTGTCAGTTTCCTACACTGTGCCCTTTTGGTTCCTATCTGCCTGCTGAACTGTGGGTTTTCCTTTGAGTCGAAACTCAGACCCAAGGGCTTTCTTCTGCCACTCACTCCTTTCTTCTCGCTCGCTAACCTTCTCCTGGGTTCTAAGACTTTGGTTCCCAGGAAGGGCTGTATGACAGATCTAGCTTGTACTCTTCTCCCACAGAATCCTCCCCACTATGAGAAATACCAAGTTAACACCTACACCTCATTCCTTTATTTCATTTTTTTCTACCACATCAGAGGCTAGCTAGTGTTGAGGTTTGCATCTGCATGCCTTTTTTCCTGTGGGAGTTTCTTCCTTACGTGGGTAAGTTCATTTTGGTTGAACAGATGAACCTCGGTTACAAGCGCAGACCATACAAGTGATGCCATACCCCCCTTACCATCATACCCATGTCATTTCCAAGGATTCTAATATATTACCTTATCCATTAGCCAGTTGGAGAGCATCTCCTTACTTACGTCATAGACTTCAGTCATCCAAGAAGAATGTGACCACCTTTCACTTAGAGAAAGATGATCACCCTGGATATCTTGCAAAGATGCTGAACTCTCAGATGGCTCCATCCTGGTTGCATGTCTTATCACCCATAACAGGAAACATGCAAATGATACTATAGAAAGGAAGCCCAGTATCTCATACCACACAGGAAAGACAGCCATGTCAGGATTGCATACAAAGGATGCTCTACCCTCACATGGATTAACATCAGTAGCATGTCTTATTACCCATTACAAGTGGCATGTAGCTTCACCTTTCCAAATCATATTTGCTTGGTGGTCCCTGTGTAGATGTGAGTATTTGGTTCTGTTCTGGAGAGACACAGCAAATATCTGCTTATCACAGATGGAGCACAGACAATAGATCAAAGAACTGGCGAGCCAATGAGTTTATTGGGGTTTCTTATGAGAGTATGCAAAACTCATATATCACCAAACAACCCAACCCAGCATTGATGATAACACATAAAAGCCACATCCCTGGGTTCCCTTCCCAACTTGCACGTGGCTCCATGGAAGAGGCTCCTCTTCCCCAGCAGCTGGTTACAACGTCTATAAGTCAGGGTGGGACATTAAAAAAATCTTTAACTTTCTCAACTTCCCGAGTCTTATAAATTCCATGAGCTTCCTGTCTTCCAGCCCTCCCTCTTCCTTCCAGGCAGGAAGGTTTCAATTCAGAGGAAATGAGCAATTTTATAGGTCTCTCCTTTAATTCTAAAAATTTAGAGTTAGAAGGGCCCCTGCATGGTTATGGGGCGTTGCTTTTATTAAATGGATGGGGAAGGCGCCATACATGTCATACAGTAAAGGTACAAGGCTCTTTTCAGATTTTAGTGTGTAATGTTTTCAGTCTTTAATTTTAAATCTGAAATATTTTCCATTATTCCTTTACACATGAATTCTCTTCTCTCTCTGTGCTCTCTCTGTGCTCTCTCTCTCTCTCTCTCTCTCTCTCTCTCTCTCTCTCTCTCTGTGCTCCCCCCGTGTGTGTGTGTGTGTGTGTGTGTGTGTGTGTGTGTGTGTGGAGAGAAGGGGGGTTAACTTTTGTTCTTGTTGTACAGAATTTTGCATGTATAAAGAGCACTTACCTTTTCGTTTTGGCTTCATTGCAGAAAGCCAACGTTCAGCTTGAACAAAGGAAAGAGTATTTGACCACGCCCCTGTTCTTCGATCTTCACATGGAACCTGAAGGCACTGCTGCTTCATCTGTACTTACGACAGGAGCAGAGATCAGAGAAGATAAGTCATGTGGCCCTAAGAAGTCAAAAACGTAGCTATCATAATTCTGCTGAACATTTTAAAGCGCTCTGTTTGTCTCAGACTATCTGATACTGTGAGAAACTAAAACTTGCCCAGTGTAGTGGCTTCCACCTTCCATCTCAGCTCTAGGGAGGGAGTGATTCGTTCGGAAGAGCTCTGATCTCTGCTCCTGAACAAAGTCCTCTCTTCCTATTTATTGAACAGCAAAGTATGTATTGGAAAGGGATGAGGAACTTCTGCCTTAACAGTTTTATAGAGCAGCAGCCTCATTAAGGATGATACTGTGTTTCTGACTCTTTGGGCTCAGTAGCACACAAGGACACGAGCAGATATTGTCACACACCACCAGTCTGTACCCACGTGTTGCTTTCAGCACTTGTGGAAGTTGAAGCATTGCTTTCAATATTCTGTTGCTTCAGCAAATGGTCTTAGGTCTAGCCACCAAATCTTATACACACACCTTGCTTGGAGTCAGGGCCATGAATGGGCGATGAAAGAGAAACAGGGACCATGATACTCTGCGGAGCCAAAGCATAGTAAGTCTGATTGTAATGTTTTTGTTTTTGCTTTTTTTTAGGTCAATTTATTTCCAACAGGTTGAGTATAGCATATGTAAACAGAAAAAAATGCATTGTTATAAATGGCCTCAAAACATACATTAACTTGGTTACAGTTTGTTTGATCTGTAAGGCAAGCTTCAAACCGCATTTCTTAACAAAACCATCCCCACAGTAGCATATGAGAGGTTGGAGGTCTAATTTTCAGTCTCAAGTTGAAGGCCTGAGAAACTGGGGGAAGGTGGGAGTATTTGGAGTCTTGGAACCCAAGGGTCAAGGGACCTAGAACTTTGGTACCCAAGAACAGCCAGAGATGAGTGCATCATTTGTGGAGGAGGGAGAGTTGATTTGTTTTATTTATAATCCCAGAGGATTGAATGGCACTTGCCTATAGTGTGAGTCCCCCAACTCTTGTACCTACCTAGTCTAGAAACACCCTCACAGACATACCCACAGAGAGAATTACCTGCCAGTTCTTTAGGTAAACTTGGATTCAGTCAAAGTGGGACTTAAAACACTTAGCCACCATACTGTTAACCAGAGTTGTTGGGTCAAAACTCAGGTGCCCCTAATCCTAACAAGCTAGGTTCAGCCACTCATCCTCAGTACACCATAAAGAAATGACAACAGGAGGCAGAGAAAGCAGGGTTGTTCACTGTGGCCACATTAAATAAATTGGGAAACAAGTAAATTAGGTCCAGGGGCATGTAGTCCACACACACACACACACTTTCAGAGTCCTGACATAGAATTTAGTCCACACACACACACACACACACACACACACACACACACACACACTTTCAGAGTCCTGACATGGAATTTAGTCCACACACACACACACACACACACACACACACACACACTTTCAGAGTCCTGACATGGAATTTAAGTTAATAGAGGCCTGCCTAGCTAGGCACTGTGGTCCTGCCCATCCTCACTGCATCCTCCCCAGTGTGCTCTGAGCCGTGACAACTGTAGACACTGTACTAAGTCTCTTTCTAAGAAACCAGCTCCTCTGGCTGGTGCGAGGCTTCAGTCCTCTCCTTTGCTCAGCACGGGACTTTTTGAGACATTTCAATCTTTCAGAGTCCACCATTTCAAAGAGTCTGGTACAAGTTTCCCTCCTTAGAATGTCTGTGCTCCTCTTGGGACAGTTGCAATACCTAGAATAAAGAGCTCGAAGTGAAATTCTCCACATAATATACAGGTGCTGTCATCCTATCTGATGTATGAGCTGTCCCTGAGTCCATATGTCCCCACTTTCCACTCAAATCTGTCCCCCAAATCTCATGGAACCAAGTTCTGATGTGTGTCCTGGTCAGCTTGTGACTACTGGCACCCCGTGTGCCCTCATTCCTGCCCAAGAAGTAGGTTTGTCCCGTCCCCTCTACTTGGAATTCCCTCCCCAGTCAGTCTCAGTTTTCTGCCTTCAATCTGGAAAATGGACATGTTTCTCCAAATTAGAAGTTTATATCTGTTTTGTAAATTTTCTGACCATTTTCCTTCAGAGTAAATTTTATTTCTTCCAGGCACGCATCTTTCAAATGTACTCCTGAACACAGAAGTGACTTTAAAGAACCAGATTCATCTGCTCTTGCAACAGATGCAAACTATGAAGAAAGTAAGTCAATGAGGAATGCTGGGTGTAATATACTCATTTCTCCTTACAGTTGCTACTGGGTGCGATTAAGTAGTAACTTATTAATTACTTTATCCTCCTCCATCTACTGTATAATCACAAGCGTGTGCACATACACCACATACATACACACACACACACACACACACACACACACACACACATTTAGATGTAATCTCACCTTCTCGCCCGGACTGGACTTGAACTCCTGGACTCAAGAAATCTCTCTGGCTCATCTTTTCAGGTAACTGAGACTCCAGGCATACACCATCATACCTGGTTCACAAATACATTTTTATAAATATATTTTTATGTTTATATGGTTGTTTCATTTATTTTTCTGGGGAGACAGGAAGAAATAGCAATGACACCAGACAGATAGGGTACCAACAGACCAAGAAAAATAATTTCATTTAAGTCGAGTCTGATAAATCAAAAATCCATTCAGATTATTTCCATGAGTATACATGGGTGAGGGGTTGTTTACGGGAACATGGATGGCTCTTGCCAGGATACCACCAGGAAGTCCCTCTTTCAGCAGCTACTTAAGAACCCTAACCCCCAGCCGGGCGATGGTGGCGCACGCCTTTAATCCCAGCACTCGGGAGGCAGAGGTAGGCGGATCTCTGTGAGTTCGAGACCAGCCTGGTCTAGAGAGCTAGTTCCAGGACAGGCTCCAAAGCCACAGAGACACCCTGTCTCGAAAAAAACAAACAAACAAAAAAAAACAAAGAACCCTAACCCCCAGTCAACCTTCCCACCTTCTGTATTTGCTGGTATCCCTTCTTCCCAGGCCGTGTGCACAGGATCAAAATTATTGCATCTAGGAGCAGGAGTGGGGGAAATGGAGACTGAAATCTCACCTGAGAGCCTAGTGACCTTCGCCTCCCCTAAGTAGGAAAGTTAATAGCTCTGACTGTATTGTCCTCACTTCCTTCCACACAGAAGGTCAAGTCATCCTGCGTGTCAACACAGCTCTTGTTGAGTCATGAGGCCCAACGGTAAAGTCAGACCTAGAGGAAATAGTTCTACTGTGGGACTACTTGTGTTTCTTCTAGAAAGAAATGCCAACTTCTCTTTCAACTCAACCCTAAGACTTTCCGTGCAGCTAAAAAAGAAAAGTCAAGTATGAATAGCTTGTTTAGTAGAAGCATACTTACAGGATTAGAAGTTTTAGGGACCTGGGGTTCCAGACCAAGTATTCTATACATTTTCAGAGGGCTTCAAAGGCGCCTGTTACTTTTGATTTCCTCTGTCATTGTCACCTTGATGGAGTACACTGTCATCACCCTCCTGGACGGAGGCTTCTTGGCTCCACTCTGCCCCACGATGTCTTCTGTCTGTGTGGTGCTCCATAAATTCTCTAAATGTGTGTTTACATGCCGCGCATGGTCTTTACTCTCTCCATTCCTCCTTAAACACCAGCCCACTCCAGGCAGGCTCCCTCCCTCGCTACTCAGCTTAAAGGGCACTGACCAGAATTACCAGTGGCCCCAGTGTTGCCAAGTCCAAACAACAGCTTTGATTTCTGTTTTCTTCGACTTCTCCAGACTTACTTGCTCATCCCCTCCTTCTCACAATTTTCAGCTTTAAGCTTTTGAGACTGTTGAGACCGAACTCAACTGTCACTCAAAAGAAATAAAATAGTTTATTTTTAACCCAAAACGAGTGTCCATGGCCTAAGAACATGGACTCCGATCACCCCTAATAACGTGTTTCAATGTGGTAATGTATGCTTTTGAAGTATAGTTAAGGCACAAAGGAAAGTCATAAGCCAAGGTATTTTCCAACTGTACCAGTAGGAACATTGAGGTTACAGACAAGTGGTGGAATCTCAGCTAAAGGTTTCCCATGTTTTCTGATAACTTTCTTTTTTTTTTTTTTTTTTTTTTTTTTTTTTTTTTTTATTTTAATTTATTTATTTATTAAGAATTTCTGCCTCGTCCCCACAACCGCTTCCCATTTCCCTCCCCCTCCCCCGATCAAGTCCCCCCCCCTCTCATCTGCTCGAAGAGCAATCAGGGTTCCCTGACCTGTGGGAAGCCCAAGGACTGCCCACCTCTATCCAGGTCTCCTAAGGTGAGCATTCAAACTGCCTAGGCTCCCACAAAGCCAGTACGTGCAGTAGGATCAAAAACCCACTGCAATTGTTCTTGAGTTCTCAGTATTCCTCATTGTCCGCTATGTTCAGCTAGTCTGGATTTATCCCATGCTTATTCAGACCTAGGCCAGCTGGCCTTGGTGAGATCCCAATAGAACATCCCCATTGTCTTAGTGTGTGGGTGCACCCCTCGTGGTCCTGAGTTCCTTGCTCGTGCTCCGTCTCCTTCTGCTCCTGATTTGGACCTTGAGATTTCTGTCCGGTGCTCCCGTGTGGGTCTCTGTCTCTGTCTCCTTTCATCGCCTGATGAAGGTTAATATTCCTGAGGATGCCTATGTGTTTGTCTTTGGATTCACCTTATTTAGCTTCTCTAGGAACATGAATTATAGGCTCAATGTCCTTTATTTATGGCTAGAAACCAAATATGAGTGAGTACATCCCATGTTCCTCTTTTTGGGTCTGGCTTACCTCACTCAGGATAGTGTTTTCTATTTCCATCCATTTGTATGCAAAATTCAAGAAGTCCTTGTTTTTTACTGCTGAGTAATACTCTAATATGTATATATTCCATACTTTCTTCATCCATTCTTCCGTTGAAGGGCATCTAGGTTGTTTCCAGGTTCTGGCTATTACAAACAATGCTGCCATGAACATAGTTGAGCATATACTTTTGTTGTATGATAGGGCCTCTCTTGGGTATATTCCCAAGAGTGGTATTGCTGGATCCAGGGGTAGGTTGATCCCGAATTTCCTGAGAAACCGAAACACTGCTTTCCAGAGTGGTTGCACAAGTTTGCATTCCCACCAGCAATGGGTGAGTGTACCCCTTTCTCCACAACCTCTCCAGCAAAGGCTATCATTGGTGTTTTTGATTTTAGCCATTCTGACAGGTGTAAGGTGGTATCTTAAAGTTGTCTTGATTTGCATTTCCCTGATCGCTAAGGAAGTTGAGCATGACCTTAAGTGTCTTTTGGCCATTTGAAGTTCTTCTGTTGAGAATTCTCTGTTCAGATCAGTGCCCCATTTTATAATTGGGTTGATTAGCCTTTTACGGTCTAGTTTCTTGAGTTCTTTATATATTTTGGAGATCAAACCTTTGTCAGTTGCAGGGTTGGTGAAGATCTTCTCCCAGTCAGTGGGTTGTCTTTTTGTCTTAGTGACAGTGTCCTTTGCTTTACAGAAGCTTCTCAGCCTCAGGAAGTCCCATTTATTCAATGATGCCCTTAGTGTCTGTGCTGCTGGGGTTATACATAGGAAGTGGTCACCTGATCTTCGATAAAGGAGCTAAAAGTATACAATGGAAAAAAGAGAGCATCTTCAACAAATGGTGCTGGCAAAACTGGATGTCAATCTGTAGAAGAATGAAAATAGATCCATATCTATCACCATGCACAAAACTCAAATCCAAATGGATTAAAGACCTCAATATCAGTCCGAACACACTGAACCTGATAGAAGAGAAAGTGGGAAGTACTCTACAGCACATGGGCACAGGAGACCACTTCCTATGTATAACCCCAGCAGCACAGACACTAAGGGCATCATTGAATAAATGGGACTTTCTGATAACTTTCTTACCTCTGGGGATGGTGGAATCTCATGGTTAACTAAGTCAATACATTCGGGAAAGATTTACCTGAGAGTCACCAGGATGTTTGGTCATCATACACAGATGTAGGAAATGAATAGCTATTGAAAATCTAATCAGAATGTTATAGCAATCAAAAAGCAGACTCTCGATAGCTCATTTTATTGCAGAGAGCCAGCAATCTCAGAAACCACAGGAAATCTGCCTGGAGCCAGCACCTGCTAGTATATTGTCTAGGGAGCCTGTACGAGGCAATTAATCATTTCAAAGTTTTGTCTTAAACTCCAGCTCGAGAAGCCTGCCTTGTCCGAGAGATTCACGATGCTGTTGCTTCTCTCCTTATCTCTCCCTGTACATTCTTCTCATTATCAGCTCTCTCTGTGTCGTGAGGAGCTCGTGTACGCCTCCAGCTCCCAAGCCCTGCGTTTTTCCTGAGTCACCATCCAGACTCTATCTACGTTAAAGGTTAACTCAGAGCAAACAAAGCATTAGCAGTGTGCATGGCTGAGCTGCTTTTCATGCAAAGGCTGTGAAGTTTAAGCATGCTTTCATACTGCAGAATAGGAAGCTCCCCTATCCGTCTCCTATTCTTTCCTACTGTTAATAATAACTCGTATCGGCTTCACATGAAGTTTGGCTTCTGCAGCTGGGCATATCGTTACTAGTTGAGCGTCTTACCAGCAAGGGAGGCTGAGTAAGTCAGAGCACCTTTCCGACAGCAGACAGATGCTCAGGGGAGTACTAGCAAAGGGAAAAGCAGGAAGGCTGCCCTGAGGCCAGGAAGGCTTGGGAGCCAGGAGGCACAAAAGGTGACACTAGAGTCCTCGTCTATTCTTTGTCAGAGACGGTGTCATCAGCTGCTTTAGCTTTAGGTCCAGCCAACTAAGCTTTATCTGTGGGGTTAAAACAGCACCCTTCTGCATTCTTTATGGCACCTCTCAGTACTAAATGATCTACAGTAGCCCATTTTTTAGGGCTGCTTCCCCAACTTGACCTGATTACTGTCTAATAGCCCCAACAGCTTCTACCATAGACTAAGATGCTCAGCTTCTGTGTAAGAGTCCTGAAGTGACCTCTCAAGTGTTCACGAGTATATGCATGGTCAGAAATGAGTGATCTGCTGGTGTGCTTTCCACTCAGAAGTTTAGTGTGTGGGAAGCGGCCCTCTTTTTCTTGCCCCAGGAGTTAGTTACTTTTGCTGTTGCTGTGATAACATATTCTGACAAAAAAAAATGGCTTGAGAAGCTCCGGGGTTACAGCCCACCATGGCAGAGAAGCTTAAGATGTCTAGTGTAGCATCAGTGGACAGGAGCAGAGAGACGGATGCAAACTCAGTTCCCTTTTCCCCATGGATGTAGCTCGGGATCTCAGGTCAGGGAATGGGTGGGTCTTCTCACCTCAGTCAACCTCATGTAGATAATTCCACACAAGCATGTTCATAGACTTGTCTCTGGTGTAAGTCTGGATCCTGTCAAGTTGACAGCCGGTGTCAATCATCACACCCATAAGTCTGGTGTGCCTTCTGGGACAGCCTGTGAGCCTTCCTAGCCCCTGGTGCTTGCTGTTCATGAGCAGAGTCCATTTCAGATCTCCTGTCCATGTGGATGTCTGTGAGTCTCTGATGTAGCCTTTACCTTACATTGTATAGCCGAGGCTTAACTCCAGCAAACTGAACCACCTTCCATGGGCCAGTCCACATCTCAGTCTCCCAGAGAGCACATGTTTCTGATTTTCAACAGAACCTTGTCACCAACAGCAGAATCTCTAGCACATGCATTCATTCTAGATACGTTTACAAACATGATTCTGGATTTTCCATCCCCACCCTCTTTCCCAGTCACCCAGTGTGAGCATGGTCTGGAGCGGATGTCCATAAACAATGTCATGAGGGCTCAAGTCAAGGGAACCTTAGGGAAGCTGCTCTTAGCTTCTCAGTGCAGGTGCATCATGGCACAATTTCAACATTGTCCTTTCCAAAGCATGACTCATCCTTTCTACCTCATCTGAGGTTCGGGGCCACTGGGATATAGGTAACATCCATTTGATTCATGTTTGTTTGCCTGTTGTGTTAGCTCAAAAATAAAGGTAGGACAGTTATCATTATGTTATAAAATAGACCAAAATAGAGGGTAACCTCTCTCAGTCAGGCTTTAATAACTTCTGTTGCT